TTTGTTTCGTCCAAATTCGGGTTTTCATGCAGAAACATAAAACTTAATTACATTGCTGATAATTTTAAATCAAAATAATTAAAATCCACAGCAACTTTGATGAGTAAAAAAGCGGTACAACATTGTTTTCTTGGCGTTCATTGTGGCATACCTTTTGCGTCTGGCGCTTTGCTGGCAAAGTTATAAATGTCACGCAAAGCTACAAAGTTTTATCTGGCATCAGCTTAAGAATTTCCTTGCAAGTGACTTCCTGTTTCTTTGTTGACATTTTTTCTGCGCGGAAGTAAATTTGAGCTTAGAAATTACTTGTGATGTTTGCTTTCGAATGACGTTAATTTCATATATTTTTATGGTGAAAAAACTTCGTTTAATGACTTGACCTGTGTATTTTTTTCCTTATTAATTTTCTGTTTACTTTGCATCAAATTCGACACTCAAGTAATTATACCTATTATAAGTACTATGATTACAACTACTAGTTCAAGGTTTCCAGGTCGTTGAATGAATTTGTTCCGTAAATGTGACACGTGACGTCATTACTTATACTACATATAGGTATGAATACTTTTTGTGTACCAATAAATACCATGCCAATTAAGATCCAATATGATTTTTCATATCAAGGAGAAAAATCCAAAACCTTAATTATGGCATAGCAAGCGAGTTAATAATAGTGTTCACATACTCGTCGTATACACAAAAATATTGAAAATGAGCTGAAAAATGCATAAAAAAAAACTGACCCAAATATGAATGCGATTACAAAAAAGAGTGCTAAAAACTACCATATACTACATACATACACATGTATATAGTACCCCAGTGGGGAAAACGAGGAATGTATTAGCCGTTTCTACCAAGAAAAGATTAACGAATGCGATTGTAGGAAGAGATGCATGTGTAGCCGAAGATTTGAAGCCGTATCATTGATAAAACCGAGTTGTTGTATTCCTAACCGATCGAAGCCATAAACAAGCCATACTTTGTGGTTATGGAGAACACATTTTTAAGTGCGCATTTTTCCACGTTTTCTATGATTTTAATCCCAATTTTAATGCATTTTGTTAACTTCGTTATTTTCTCTTCAAAGTATTCATGTGGATTGTGTTGCGCATATGTTTGTAAATAAAAATTTGCAGAAAACTTAAAAGAAACATCCGAACGTAATGTCCGGTTAAAATTTGCCCTTTTTCCAAGACGTTGGTACCTATTGAAAATGGGCGAAATCGGACGTTAACCACACCCACCTCCCGTATAACGGTATTTTCGCGAAAATTAAAAAAAAATACTATGATATTTCCGTTAATACTAGATCCAAATACAATTTTGGTATACAAAACGATACTTATAAAATTTTTGGAAAACGTGTGCGGCAGCGCCCACTTATGAAGAATTGCGGTAACTCAGTAGCCGCTTCAACAACAACTCCCACCTGTTGAAGACTTTTGAGATCGGAAATTAACCACGCCCACTTCCCGTAGCGGTAATTTATAGAAATACGAAAACTGCGATAAATCAGTTGGCAATATGTAATCTTTTAGCAATAAATGAGACTACTAAAAATTCTTGAAAAATGGGCGTGGCACCAACCACTTTTTCCTAAATCTGTGTATCTCGGTAAGCGCTTTATCAATATCTGCCAAACACGGTACGCTATGGCCCTTGGTACAAAAAGGTAATGCATATTGGTAAATTTCGGAAATACGAAAACTTTAATATTTCAATAACTAAGGATAATCATTTACTTCTAGTTAATACTTACAACAATCACGTAACAAGAAAGCAGATTATTATAGATTTTTGGAAAATTGGGCGGGCATCATTTCTAATTTCAACTCGGTCCAATTATTTCATTAAGTGTAATTGACCATGTTATGCATATTCTCGAAAATGTTTGAAATAGAGGCAAAACCCCTTGCTCATCATGTAGATTACAGAAATGTGAAAAAATAGATTTTATAGTTTTATACAGCGACACGTGACAAATTACTTTCCTAAGGCATCGCGGCTAGGCCGATACATTCCTCGACACATGACTATAAATGCCCATTTCCGACTGGGTATGTATATGTACATATGTACGTACCTAAATATAAAGCAAAGTCAAATAGCGAACATAACTAAAGTGTGTGAATACATACGTACATATGTACATATGAGGTCATAAAATTTCATTCGAAATTCTGAGGTTGGAAATTTTTTTTGGTACCGTCCACTATTATGCCGCCATGGGTTTATTAGATTTAAGTCAGTGTTTTTAATGCAGTTACAATCTGCAAAAAAAACAAGTAAGAGCTATGCCGAAGGCTTCATACCTTTCATGAACATCTGCAAATTTTACTTTGACAGATTACTGCTTTTGAATACATCTGCATACATCGATAGAGGAGTTACATACTTATATAAAAAATCGCATATAAACAATCAGAGGTATGGAAGATATACTTTATATGGCACCAATCTAAGTGATGTTCACTGCTATGTGATCGGTATGTAAACCGGTAACACAGTTTATTGGGTTTAGTTTCCTACATAAAGGAGATATATGGCAAAAACTGGTATCTGAACAATCAGTGCTATAAAGATAAAGATTATACAGCATAGATTTTGATGATTTTCTCAGTAGACGTTGTATTATTATTTATAAAATATCTTACGAAATTTATCGGTTTTAGCTGTTCAAATAAAGGAGTTTTACCGTAAAATCCCATATCTGAACAATCAGATGTATGGAAGATATATGTTGTAGTCATCCGATCCTTGTTATATTCACTGTAAGTATTCTGTAAATAATGAGTGAAAGTGGTGCGAAATTTCATGTTCCTAGCTGCATAAATGGAGGAGTTATGATAAAAGACCTGAAGATCTGAAGAATCAGTTATATGGGGGCTGCAGGTTATAGTGGCCCGATCTTTGTTATTTTCGCTGTAAGTCTTCTGTTGATAATGAGTGAAAACAGCGCGAAATTTCATGGTCCTAGCTACATAAATGGATGAATTATAACGAAAAATCTCATATCTGAACAATCAGTTGTATGGGAGCTATAGGTTATAGTTACCCGATCTTTTTAATTTTCACTGTAAGTTTTCTGTTGATAATTATTGAAAACAGTGCGGAATTTCATGTTCCTAGCGATATAAATGGAGGAGTTATAACGGACAATTTTATATCTGAACAATCAGTTGTATGGGGGCTATAGGTTATAGTGACCCGATCTTTGTAATTTTCACTGTAAGTATTCTGTTAATAATGGGTGCAAGTACTGCAAAATTTCATGTTCGTAGCTGCATAAATGGAGAAGTTATAACGAAAAATCTCATATCTGAACAATCAGTTGTATGGGAGCTATATGTTATAGTTGTCCGATTCTTCCGGTTCCGACAAATGATTAATACATTATAAAAATACACCCACATACCAAATTTGATACGGATATCTCGAAAACTGAGAGACTAGATTGCATACAAACAGACAGACAGACGGACAGACGGACATGGTTAAATCAACTCAGCTCGACGTTCTGATCATATAAGTATACATTTTAATGGGTCTATCTCTTTTTGTTCTGGTACTTACAAACATCGGACCAAAGTTATAATACCATTTCATGCTCATGAATGGTATAAAAATGTGTAAAAAACATTTGTATGTAGCTTCTGATATAAAGCATTTCGTCACTACATATGAATTAAGGCGCGCTATCTTTGTACATACTAACATCCATAATCTCATTTCTAATCCATTTCCTTAATAACTTTATTTATGCGAACCCTTTAATTCGTATAAGTATGTATTGTTGATATTAATGGACTGTTTTCATGACAACTGAAGTTAATTTATTAGCCAGGAAACTATTAAGTGTCAAACTGTTAAGGTGTGTGATTATGTATGTCTGTATGTCTGTATGTAAATCGTTGTTTTGCGCAATTAATAACTAGGCTACTTTACCTAAAATTGGGCAAGGCGTTGGAATGGCTTTTCTGAATCAATAAAATTCAATCAATTAGAAATGAAATGCATTATACATAAATACTGTTCCTTATGCGTCTTAAAATTCTTCAGCTTTCATTCTAGTATGTAATTACGCGTTTTTTAATAAACTTGTTGGTGTGGGCTATCTACAAAATGGCTGCACCGAATTCTATAGAACATTTCCTATTAGCTCATTATAAGCTTTATGCTTAGCCTAAAAATCTTATCAGATAGTTAGTTAGTTAATTATTTAATAAATTTGTTATACTAGAACATGGAACAGTGCGGCTAGAATTCTTTTGGTACATATCTCTATAATAAGTCTCTAACCTGAGAGCTCAAGATCCCTAATATTTACATAAATGCGCACAGTACCTTATTAGACGAATACCTAATAATAAGCGGATCGATTGTAGATGCATTTAAGAGGCAAAGCATGTCTAATGTCCGCAGTACTTGTCGCGTTCTGAGTTTCCCACTTTGTTTTTGCATGTTTCCAAAACGATGAACTGTATCCACAAAGCGCTTCCGGGCCCCCCCTTGGGAAAGTCGGATGAACCTTCCCTCGGCAATTCATCGGCGACCTCGTTTGCCTTAACCCAGTTAACAGTTACGGATACCAAGCATAGTTTTGACTTGTTTCTCGTCGCTAGGATTTGAAGAGCTTGGAGGTAATCATTCTATTGGATATGGCTCTGATGGCCGCTTGGCTGTCTGAAAAGCTTACAGTTGCTCTCCGCCTATTACAATAGAAAGTGTAGTGCCGGGGTCCATAAACACCTGCTTCTATTCTGTCCGCCATCCTTAATGCATCTCTGTACCAATGTCTGTATCTGCGATCAAGGCGATGAAATTTTCCCGGACATCTTA